TGAAAATATATTTGAAGCTTGTGGTCTAGAGTGCTGCCTCACAGTGCCTGTGCAATTGACAGAAAGCCATAACTTTTCCCCGAAGTGCACTTATCCTCTGAGAAGTTACAGCAGGATAAGTGAGATGCAGGTTAAGATCCTGGTTGGAGTTAAGATCGTGGTTGGAACCTGATTCCCAATGGGTTAACAATGTGTTGCTGTGTATTTGTACTCATATGCAAATGTCACTGAGTTTAATGGGTTCACAAGTTAGCATGGATAAGATCAAAGTGCAGTTAAGGGTCCAGTGGCTTGTCCAGTTAGTAGTTAAAGAAAAAAATTCCTTTGATTCATCCGTGGCTCTACACTCTCCCTTCCAACTAATGGCACCACCATGTCTGAAGCCTCTCTAAGCTGGGATTGTTTCATGTGGTATTTAAACATGCTCAGCTTTTCTGGGCTGAAACCTGTTTTATCCATGCAAGTCCCATTCTTTTCAGTGCAATCTTCTGATGTAATAAATGCATGCTAGAACCTGTCAGTAAATAGATTACTGGCACATGAATGGTACATTTTCTGTTCAATGAGTGGATACAAAAAGGGAGATACCTGAGAGACCTTTTCTCCCCACAATGGCAACATTTAAATAAAACTGAATATGGTTTCATTATTATGCAGGTCTGTGAATACAGATAAAAATGGAAGGCCCTAGCTACTTCATATTTTAAATCAGACAGTCCTTTTACATTTTAATACAGGATTTAGGATTCTGAAAACCAAGGTCCTTGAGACTTCTTGTAGATAGCACTTGAATACAGTATTGTTCTCTTTTGAGACTCAAGTAATACCAAGACTGAAAGATAATATGATTAAGCTTCATTACCAAAAATGCACTCCTGATTCAAAAGAGAAAGAACCTTTGGGAATCCAGAATATAACTGGTGCATTTTAAAATCATTTGCTTTTTTGGTGAAGTACCAAAAATCTGGCCATACATTTCAATATTCCCTGAAATGTTCTAAGCACGATATAAAATAAGTTCCCTTTTCATTCAACAAAGTAAATCAAGTTTTTAATAGATCTTATATTCCTACTCTTGCTCAGATCTGTGGAACTTCTAGCACAAGCTTAATCCTAAACCTGCTTTATAAAGGTCTGTATGCTGGGCATGTCCATTTTTGCCCCAACTACCCTAAGAGCTTTTGCTGTGTGGAATTCAGCCCTTGGGCTGAAAAAGATTCCCTTGAAAATGATTAGATGTGTGGCTAATATTTTTTTTAAATATGGGAAATCACAACAGAATACACTGCTCTAGTTGTGACTTCATATAAGTTTATCAATACTGCATTAATATGATAATATAATTAATGTAAGGTAGGCCTTTTGTAATCATCTCAAATTTCTGTGAGGCTGGTAGTCAATGGTTGCATGTCAAGACACGCTGAATTTTCCACTTGTTCATTAATGTTTTGTTCGGTATAAATACTTTGCACAACCTCTGGAAAGTTGGTGCTGGTATGTACCCCCATCCACAGCTGTTTTCCATTAGAAGTCCATTCAAGAATTCATCGTGTTCTGCCTTTGGCAGCACCATGTTAGTAATTCCTTAGTCATTTTATGTTCCAGCATTTAAGATCTGTTCTCTTTTCCTGTTGAGTCCCTAGCTGATAATACTATCCACCAGATTCATGACCTCAATCTTCTAATGGTTCTACTGTTGGAAATAAAAATCTTTTGTTCTCATGTAATTCACCCCCACACTGGATCCCATTTGTGCTCCACATTGCACCATAATTTTATGGGCTGTTCGTAATCATTTGGATGATAATGTACATTGTGAGGTTTCTGAATTGTGTGTGTGAGAGAGAGGGAATGGGAGAGAATATGATTGCTGTGTAAAGGCCATAACATATCAAATGTCATCACCTTTCTTTTCTAAGCCATAACATTCATAGGATTAAAACTGAAGCGCCTTTTCTATCATCTTGCTTTTTTTCTGCTCTTCCCATTGTATCTAGAACAGTGTAGGGCATTAAAGTTGATGCGGATTTGTTCAAACAAAATGTCTCTTACTAAATTGCTGAAGCAGGCTGTCACTAACTACCGTGTCCTGACATTAAACCAGGGGAATGTTATAAAATTAGCAAGTCCAGTAGCAGCTTTAATAGCATTACGTGTTAAGACAACAATAAATTACACAGAGTAACCACTTAGAAATAAGAGGGTTGTCAGGAAAACATATCCATCAGAACATGAAGTCACCATTCTTATTAAAAGTTCCTGTAGCTCTTTTTTCTTCATTTATGAGAAATAACCAGTGAGTGTGTTCATTTTTGACCTGTAGACAATTGACAGTACAAGTTGCTGGTTTCATTTGCATGTCATGCTGACCCACCCTGGCAATGGTGGGTTGCCAGAACAATCATGGTGGGTTGGTTGTTCTGAAAACGAACTGTGGTGAACCTGACAGAAGATTGGGCTCACTGTGGGTTGTTTTCTCCTCTTCCTTCCTCCTTTCCCCCTCAGTCCTGCTCTGCAAGTATACCAAGACCATGTGGCAGGACTAACTTGCTTCCCCCTCCTTGCTATGATACTGAGCTACCAGAGCAATACACCTATGGAACACGCAAACAAGCTCTCCACTGAGGTCTGTCTGGTGCTAACCTTACTATCTTTTTGGCACCAGGTAAAGGCTGTTCTTTACTGTAGGGCATTCAGGTAGCTTCTGAAGCCTGCTAGTTGTTAAACAGGTCTGAATATTTTTCTTTCTTTTTTTCTTCTTTAACTTAGGTCCACCCCCCTGCCCGTATGCCTGTTTAATATGTGGTTTTAAATTTTATATTGTAAACTTTTCATGATGTGTTAATACGTTTTTAATGCAATACTTATTTTTTTTGTTTTGTTTTTTCATTTAATGTGCTTTGTGAACCACCCAGAGAGCTACAGATGTTGAGTAGTATAGAAATTAAATAAAAATACAGCAATACACTTCAGCTATATTTATGGGGAAGAAAGGGGAGGCAGAGAGAAAAGGAAATTACAAGCCCCAATCATGGCTGAGAGGACAGCAAGCCACTTGGGCACTAGTGGGTGGCTGGCACTGGCAGGTGCCTGGGGAAGCTTGGCAAGAATGGTAGAGTTCCCTCCCGTCCTGTTCCGTTCCTTCTTGCTGTTTTTGTCAAGGCACTCACTGGCTCAGTAGCCACAATAGGATCGGTCGCTCAAGTGTGGGTGCCCCAGCAAGTCTTCATAGTCCAACAATTATCGTTTGACTCTTAGATACAGTTCTTCACCAGAATCCCTTTCTTCTGGAATTCTTAAAATTCACAGTCCATGTATTATAACTTGCTGTGTTTCAAAAGAATGAACAACTTGCTTATTGGAAACAAACAGTTTTTTAAAGGAACAATGGGTGCCACAGAGCTGAGCCAGCCCTTTATTTTGCATGCCAACTAATGTCAAGGTTGGATCCTGAATCCAGAAAAGAAAAGATCCATAGAAATTAATTCAGTTATAATTGACTTCATTAAGGTGGGATCTTACCAAATGAATGGAGACTTCTAGAACTATGAAGTATGAAAAGTTTCTAGTGCCAGAAACATCTCTTGTTAGACTTTGAGGGATGAAATAGTTGATCATGACTGGAAGCATTTGATGAATTGCTAGAAACAAGGAGCACAAATTCTTCTGGCACACAATCCTGAAAGAGTAGCACACAGTTTGAAGAAGGAAGGGATAATATGCATAGCTTTCTGATTCTTATCCATCCTTGTCTGGTTTGTATATGACATAGACTTTTATCTGTCTTTGCAGTTTATTGAGCAACAGTTCTTGGAAATCTTGCCATCACATCCTCTTATATTAAAATAACACCCCCCTCCCCACCATTGAAAGCTTGTTTGCTGTTAACACATTAGGGAGTATCCAATGGTGCCTGAGCACCAGCAGGACCCACTGCTAGTGCAACTGGAGGCTGGTGCTTAGTTAAGCAACTCTAGTTGGGCCAAGACACTTGTTTCTGGAACAAAACAGCAAAGCTGGCAGAAGGAAGTGCCTCTGATCTTTCCCTCTCTGGAAACAAGGTTTATGCTTCATTTCAGTTGGCATCCTGTTGCACTAATAGTAGTTTCCACTGATGCAATACTAACAGTGGAGGTGCAGTGGCAGCACTGGAGACAGTCCACTGTAAATTAAATCTGCATCCTCAGAGATGTTTGACTCTAAGATTAACATTATGATGTGAGTCTTTTTATTTGGGAATTACATTTTTAAAAGGCCAAAGCAAAATAAAACAAAAAGATGCCAAACATTTCAGTTGCCTTTGCTGCGACAGAACTACCTTTTTGGAAGGAAAGCAGTATTTTAATTGTTAAGTGATTTTTAAACACACACACACACACACACTTTTGTTTTTCTGTACTTGCTGGCTTGATGTTTGTTTATTTAAGCTTCTTTTAGTTGTTTATGTTTATTTTAAACAAAATGCAATTTCATCAGTCTGATATTTTGTAGCAGTCATTCTTTTCCCCCGGCCCACAAGGGTATGCAGACAATCCCAGAATAATCTTGCAGTAGCTTCCACACTTGCTTATAGTCATGTCATTAGGTCAAACACCAGGCAATGTTGTGACAATCAATTAGCTGCATAAAATCTGGGAGTTTCACATCTCTAATACAGCAGTGGTAGGAAAGATGCTCACAATGTGGAACATTTAGGAGTGCTCTTTAAAGTATGTCTTGATCAGTTGCTTACACTTTCTGTATTTGACTTGTACACCTTCTAATTGTGGCTTTTCTTCTTCTCTTAACAGTGTTTTATATATCATCAGCTCCAGAAACTATACAAAATCAATACCATCTAAAAGTTGAGGAAGACCACGTTTTATTTTTCCTGAATAACTGATTGTTGAGAATCTGAACTAAAAATAAAAAAATAAAAAATCCTGAGGTTATTTTATTGACCACCACTAAATGCAAACAACACATCTGTGTGGTATGTAAAACTGCACTTTAGGATCACTATGATGAGCCAGGAGAAATGGGCTAACCTCAGTCCTTCAGAGTTCTCGCAGCTTCAGAAGTATGCCGAGTGTAAGTACTTGCCTTTCATAGTTCTGTGCTTTCATTGTATTACACCAGAATGCCAATGGTATAAATGTGTTGTAAACAGGAGTTTCTGGCCTAATAAAATCTGTAAGTGATCAGACGTCTAGTAATTATTCAGCTTAAAATATATTGATTTTTTCTGATTTGGCAATAGAATGCTAGGCAAGGGAAAGCTTCCAACAGTGGGAGCTCTACCAAAATTGGTTGTGAATTAACAGAAAGTAAAAAAAAACTGTGATGATGGATCAAGATATTTGTTTTCTGCTTCTTTAGTGCACTGTTGTCATCAGGTTTTTATTTTGCTGCAAGGGACTCTGACTCAAAAAGTCTTTCTCCTCCTAGAATTTAAGAGACTTGGGATAAAATCGCTTTATCAGAACTGATTCTTTATGTCCTCCATATGCCGCCTTCTTGGTGAGGAAGGAGGAAAGAAGGTTATTTTATAGGAAGCCAAAGAGGACCTTCTATGGAAGGGCTTCGGAGCTCCAGAACTCCCTTTCATAGGGCAAGGAGGCAGTCTAGTTCTGGCTGTGTTGTCCTTTTGTTGGCGGGTCAAGACAATTTTAATTTTTGGTGTCTAAGAAATTTGCAGCTGGAGTAGGTTTTAATCTTGTTAATGCTGTTGTTTTCTTCGCATTGGTTATGCTTTTACTTGAGTTTCAATGTATTATTTTATCTGAACTTTGTTAGCCACACTAAGCCCTATTTTTAATGGAAACGTGGGGTATGCATTTAATAAATGAATAAAGTCTAGCAGTTTCATTATCAAATTGCATCACATGTACATAATTCCACAAAACATAAATGTTTTATATTCCAGCAAGTGAGATTTAAAATGCCCAATCTTGTGAGACTTACAGCCAATTCAGTAGAAATGAAAATTTTGGAGTGGATTTCTTTCATCCAAAGGCTTCTGAAAACAGATTTTTGCTAGGTTGTACCCTGGCAGAAATGAAATTAGTGGGTTTAGGGATGCCTGATTATTCAAAGCAAAGCAGTGGACAGAGATTTTTGCAACTGATGGGTTTGAGCAAATGTTAGTTCTATTTTGAGTTGAAGTATTTGAATGAATGGGACTTAACTAATGCCATTTTCCCCTTGCGTGCATTCACTGTATGGCACAAACTTCAATAGTGGTAATCTTTGTTTTCCACACAGCCATCCTGATGAAGTGCTGTGGAGAGGGTAGGAAGGTGGAGGAGAAACTGTTTGGGTGTCGCATACATGAGTGGTTGGTCCCAGCCTTCTCCCTTCAGCCAGCTGGCCTCCTTTCCTGCTCTCTGAGGATGTTCTGAGCCCTGCATGGTTTTAGCCTGCTTGCTAAGCAGGACTCATGCCATTACATTTTTAACTTATGTAATTCAGCCTTTCCTAATTTGATATTAAACCTGTTTGGTGCTGATGCTGGTGCAGGGGCTTCTGGTTGTTGTTGCTGCAAGCACTACCATGCGAAAGTACTTGAAAGTACTCTTTCCGGCTGTATGATGGTGCCATGAATCCTAAACAGAATTAGCCCTCTGATGGTGTCATTAAGCCAATTTAGGGTGAGGGCAATGCTTCCTATGCTTTCCCTGGTGTCACGCCATCACATTCTCAATGGGTAGGGTCTCACAACCAGCCATCTGGTTTCTTAAGCAGGACGGAATGTCATGTTGTCTGAACCCTGTCATGCAACTCAGGGTGGTTTTCTATTGTGTTTTTTAGAAACTACAATATGAAGCAGATTATGTTCTTTGGTTTCCATGCTTTACCATGGTTTCTCTGGTCATCTGAACCTGGCATCAAGGAAAGAGGAGCAGGTGCTCCAGGAGCTAATTTTAGGTGCAGTGGCTGGTGGGATATGTGCCAACACTGGAAGGACTGAGTGAGCAGGGTGGAAACCATGGTACCACAGAAGCCACTTAATCATCTGTCAGGCACATGCAGGCAAAAAGCTGCACCATGGGAACCATGCAGAATTCCTTGTTGTGGCATGTGAACCTAATCAATGTGATCCTTGCTTTATAATGCGCACATTACTTAGAGAATGCCAAAACAAATCTAAAAGGCAACACTGGATTGGGGAAAGAAGCAGCTGTGAATAGGTAAAAACAAGGTGAAAGGTCTTGTAAAGTAGTTAATCTCCCACAAATGTTCCTTTTGTGCCAGAAATGTTCGCATGTAAACATTTGGTGGAAACCTACTTCAGAGCCATATTATGCAAAGTCATGTAATACAGTTTCACAGTTCTATTAGCCATGCTGCACACTTTAATAATAGGTTTGGGATATTAGTCATTGCTAAGCATGTCATGAGAAAGACACTGCACCATGGTTTCCATATAATATTGCATGTGAAGTGGCTTCCAAGGGAATAACACTTTGAAGACTCTTTATTAACGAAAGGCATTCTCTGGATTATATTTATCTATGGAGTTAGGCTATTAAACTAGCTGTGGAAAATAAAACAGTCAAACTAACATGCTAAGAGACTTTTGGTGAGCTGGTGACGGCTGCTGTTTGGAAGGATGAACTATAGATAGTATAGATGCTGAAACTATAGATTACTATAGATACTGAAGAAAAATCAGGCTTCAGAAGGTCTTCACTGCATATGAAAGGATCTTATGGAGGCTCTTTAAGAATACATAAGGCAGGTAATTCTTAGGTTGGATACATGTGCAATGTGTCTTGAGTAAGTGAGCCAGCCCAGGGTGAGGAACCACCCTCACCTTGTGCAACTCACCCTTTCCAGGACTGAGCTCTGCAAGATTAGAAGCCGAAGTTCGTGCATCACATTCCCATACTGCCGCCAGGAAGCTTTTCCAGTCAAAAAACCAAGCCAAACAATCCAGAACAGCTATGTACTTTTCAAAACTGTTTCTCTGACAATAGCAATAACTACAAAACAATAAAAATGAATAGACAAATGAACATTTGATCATGTATTTTTCAGAAATGTAAACCAAGTAAGGGTGTAATCCTATGCATCTTTTAGAAAGGAAAAGGTCTTACATCTCACAATATGCTCCAGACATCATGGCTTGCTGGGACATAGTAGGACAGTGGTGGAGAACCTATGGCACAGGCGCCACAGCGGGCCTGCAGAGCCCTCTCTGTCAGCACACGAGCCAAGCCACCCCAGCATCGCCCCAGCAGCCACGCATTGGATAACAGCACACATAGGGGCCATGCGCATGTTCAGAAAGGAGTATCGACGCCAGGTGATGACATCACGAGCCCCGACTCGTGAGCCATGACTCGTCCAAGCTTTCATGTGTCAGTGAGTGTGCTGCCAAGCATATATATATATTTGCTTGGACTGGCTGTGAGTTGTTTTTTCTAAATGAAAACCTTAGTTTTCAGGTTTTATTGCAGTGTTAGCACTTTGTGATAAATAAGTGGGTTTTGGGTTGCAGTTTGGGCACTTGGTCTCTAAAGGTTCGCCATCACTGTACTAGGAGATCTAGAGCCCTTTCCCATTTAAACGTGCACAGGATTTCACCCTGAATCCGCACCACTAATATAGGTTGAGGTGGTTTGAGAAAATGTTGAAATGAGTGTTGAGCCAAAGTTGTTGTCAGTAGAATATGCTCACACAGGATGCCCGTGTTGTGAGGTCTTCAGTCCACTGTGTAGCTGAGGGAGATGATTTGCCTTGCCATTCCTATAGTATGTGTCTCTTAGCCCCTATGAAGTCTTGTATAGTCTGATTGCAGAGGATAGCTTCCAGGATGTGGGAATGTAATTCAGCAGTACATGGACATCTTTAAACAAGAATGACATGGTTAGGAGAAAGTTGATGTGTCTAACAACTTCTGTCCAGAAGGGGGCCATTTCCACATACTGTGCATTAAAGATGCTTCTGCTGTCCCACATCAGCAACATATATTACAAGGTGATAGATTCTTTCTGAAACAAGCACTGTGGACTCTGATATGTCTTAAAGATCAGCTTTTGCTGTGTGAGAGTGAGGGGGTATGGATTGTATAGAAGATGTAGCTATTTTCCATTGGTGTGGCTGGATGTGGCATTCTAATTCCCCACTCCACACTTTTGAGTATCTGGATGTCAAGTAGGTTGTATGTTAAGACTCTCTTGTAAATATATAGTGAGCCAATGACCAGCAGTGACCCTCCAGATCTTTCCCTGCCCTACCCAGAGATACTAGGGAACATTTCTGGAATCATATGTATTCAGGGTCTGTCCTACGGTCTCTTCCTCAAAAGAGTGGAAAATCCCTGGCCTGGAACTTAAACATACCCTGCTTCTAATGTTGGCTTATTATCCTTTCTACTACTAACAGACCTACTGAACTTCAAAAATGTTTCATAGTGTGCCCAAACCAATTGGATAGCTGGTTTAGATACAGTTGTAAGAACCACCTGGATGGTTTTAGTTGTCAAGTGGGCACTTGTAATGTAGAATGGTAGCTTTATTTGCATGGCAGCTTGCAAGGACCATCCTATGGCTGGTAGACACATGATGCATACAGGTGCATTGGCACCTGCCAAGCTCCTTAAGTGGGCTTGCATTTTTCATGCTTTTCCTTGCCTCTGTTGAAGTCAGTAGATCAAGAACTTTTTATTAGAGGTAGGGAAAATGGTGGCCTGTAGAAAAATGGCTGAGTAGGGGGAAGCCCATCTCTCAAGGAGATTGTTTGGGGGAACAGGGTCCTTGTGTTAGGTAGGCTTACCTTGAACTTTTTTTAAAAAAGCAAGAGACCATTTCCCCTGCTCTGTTAAATGCACTGGCTTGAACTTGCTCCATTAAGTAGAGCTGGGGACAAATTCTGCTGCAAAAAGGGGATATTTGGGGCAACATCTATCCTTTGTTCCCACCCATATAGGGTTGTTTGATTGTCTGTCTGTTTTGTCAGGGGAGCTTTTCCCCATCTCTGTGAAAGTCTTTGGGGTGAAAACTCATTCTGCAAGAGAAGTGAGATCTCTCATACTTTAATAGAGTAGGGGAAAAGGGGGTTCTTTGAAAAATGACTTGTGAGGTGGTAGGTAAAGAAAGGTGAAAATCCAGAAGGGGGTGGGAGCATTCAGAGAAGGGAACATCCACAAGATTTCATTTCCCATGACCATTTGTGGTGGTCCCTGAGCCTGCTTGCAAAATCTCCTCTGGGCCCCAAAAAATTGTCTTTGGTTCCAAATGCTGGGAGTTGTAGAAATTTTTCTGTTTAAACATGCATAAGATCATGTCCGTAGTGCAATAAACTGAAGCTATAGTAGTGGCAACAGTTTACTCTTAAGGGACACTTTTGCATTTTATACTCTGTGGGCGCAGGTTTTAAATGGAATCAGACTTCCTCTGTACATCTAGGCTAATAGTATAGCCTATACAGTATAGTATACTGTAGTATACTATAATTTAAGTACCAGTGCATGCTTTAAAGTCACCATAAGCACAGAAATTCTTAAATAGAAAGAAATTGAGCTTTATTCCATCACAAAGTCTGGCAAATACATAAATAGAATATTTGTTGTTGTTAGTCGCGAAGTCGTGTCCGACCCATTGCGACCCCATGGACAACATTTCTCCAGGCCTTCCTGTCCTCCACCATCTCCTGGAGTCCACTTAAGCTCACACCAACTGCTTCAGTGACTCCATCTAGCCACCTCATTCTCTGCTATCTCCTTCTTCTTTTGCCATCTATTGTTCCCAGCATTAGGCTCTTCTCCATGGAGTCCTTCCTTCTCATTAGGTGGCCAAAGTATTTGAGTTTCATCTTCACTATTTGGCCTTCTAAAGAGCAGTCAGGGTTGATCTCCTCTAGGACTGACTGGTTTGATCGCCTTGCGGTCCAAGGGACTCGCAGGAGTCTCCTCCAGCACCACGATTCAAAGGCCTCAATCCTTTGGCGCTCAGCCTTCCTTATGATCCAGCTTTCACAGCCATACATTGCAACTGGGAAAACCATAGCCTTGACTATACGTACTTTTGTCGGCAGGGTGATGTCTCTGCTTTGTAGTATGCTGTCTAGATTTGCCATAGCTTTCCTCCCCAGGAGCAAGCGTCTTTTAATTTCTTGGCTGCAGTCCCCATCTATGGTGATCTTGGAGCCCAGGAAAATAAAATCTGTCACTACCTCAATTTCTTCGCTATCTGTTTTCCAAGAAGTGAGAGGACCGGATGCCATTATCTTAGTTTTCTTAATGTTGAGTTTCAAGCCAACTTTTGCGCTCTCCTCCTTCACCCGCATCAAGAGGCTCTTTAGTTCCTCTTCACTTTCTGCCATGAGACTGGTATCATCTGCATATCTGAGGTTGTTGATATTTCTCCCAGCAATCTTCATTCCAACTGGTGATTCATCTAGCCCCGTCTTTCTCATGATGTGCTCTGCATATAAGTTAAATAGGGAGGGTGACAGTATACAGCCTTGCAAAACTCCTTTCTCAATTTTGAACCAATCAGTGGTTCCGTGTCCAGTTCTCACTGTTGCTTCTTGACTCGCATATAGGTTTCTCAAGAGACAAATAAGATGGTCTGGTACTCCCATCTCTAAGAACTTGCCACAATTTGTTGTGATCCACAAATCAAAGTCTTTAACATAGTCAATGAAGCAGAAGTAGATGTTTTTCTGAACTCCCTAGTTTTCTCCATGATCCAGCATATGTTGGCAATTTGATCTCTACTTCCTCTGCCTCTTCGAAATCCTGCCTGTACTTCTGGTAGTTCTCGGTCCACATACTGCTGGAGCCTAGCTTGTAGAATTTTGAGCATAACTTTGCTAGCATGTGAAATGAGTGCAATGGTGTGGTAGTTTGAACCTTCATTGGCATTGCCCTTCTTTGGGATCGGAACGTAAACTGACCTTTTCCAATCCTGTGGCCACTGTTGAGTTTTCCAAATTTGCTGGCATATTGAGTGTAGCACTTTTACTGCATTGTCTTTTAAGATTTTGAATAACTCAACTGCAATACTGTCGCCTCCACTAGCTTTGTTGTTGCTCAGACTTCCTAAGGCCCATTTGACTTCACATTCCAGAATGTCTGGCTAGAGGTCAGTGACCACCCCATCGTGGTTTTCAGGGACGTTAAACTCTTTCTTGTATAGTTTTTCTGTGTAATCTTGCCACCTCTTCTTAATCTCTTCTGCCTCTGTTAGGTCCCTGCCATTTTGGTCCTTTATCATGCCCATCTTTGCATGAAATGTTCCCTTCATATCTCCAATTTTCTTGAAGAGATCTCTGGTCCTCCCTATTCTATTGTTTTTTTCTATTTCTTTGCACTGTTCATTTAAGAAGGCATTCTTATTTCTTCTAGCTATTCTCTGGGATTCTGCATTCAATTGTTTGTATCTTTCTCTTTCTCCCTTGCCTTTCGCTTCCCTTCTTTCCTCAGCTATTTGTAAAGCTTCCTCAGACAGCCATTTTGCTTTCTTGCATTTCTTTTTCTTTGGGATGGTTCTGGTTGCTGCCTCTTGTACAATGTTGTGAACCTCCGTCCATAGTTCTTCAGGCACTCTGTCTATCAGATCTAAATCTATTTGTCACCTCTACTGTATATTCATCAGGGATATGTTTTAGGTCATACCTGAGTGGCCTAGTGCTTTTCCCTACTTTCTTCAACTTAAGCCTAAATTTTGCAACCAGAAACTCATGATCTGAGCCACAGTCAGCTCCTGGTCTAGTTTTTACTGACTGTATAGAGCTTCTTCATCTTTGGCTACAGAGCACATAGTCAATCTGATTTCTGTGTTGACCTTCTGGTGATGTCCATGTGTAGAGGGGTCTCTTGGGTTGTTGGAAAAGAGTGTTTGCTATGACTGTCGTATTCTCTTGACAAAATTCTACCAGCCTGTGCCCTGCTTCATTTTGTACTCCAAGGCCAAACTTGCCTGTTATTCCAGTTATCTTTTGGCTTCCTACTTTAGCATTCTAATTCCCCATGATGATAAGGACATCATTTTTTGGTGTTAATTCTAGAAGGTGCTGTAGGCCTTCATAGAACCGGTCAACTTCAGCTTGTTCAGCACCAGTGGTTGGGGCATAAACTTGGACTATTGTGATGTTGAATGGTTTGCCTTGGAGTCGAACTGAGATCATTCTGTCATTTTGGAGATTGTATCCCAGTACTGCTTTTTTTACTCTTTTATTGACTATGGAGGTTACTCTACTCTAAATAGAATATAGAGTATGCATAAGCAATGACTAAGATAAAAGCTACTTATTTACTTTTTGTGTTATATGTGATTGCTGCTCAAATGGTCACAATCTTGTTAATTAAGACTTGTTAAATAAAAATCCAGTTAATAGTTGAACTTCTTTGTTGTGGTACTGATTGTGAAATGCATGTTGCTTATAGCTTTGCCAAAAATATGTTGCCATTTTGAATGTAATTGTTTAGATGAAATTAAAATTCCAGACACACCGAGATTAAGGCAAAAAGAATTGCTGTCTGTTCAGGGCCTGTTCATCTGAATAAATAGGTGCTTTCTGTCATCGTTTTTGCAGATTCTACAAAGAAAATTAGAGATGTTTTGGAAGAATTCCATGGTGATGGTGTGCTAGCAAAGTACAATCCTGAAGGGGTAAGGTTCTTTTTAAAGCTCTATATATTTGCTTAAAGTAATGTTCAGCATTATTTGGTTTACTTATTCTGCTGTCTTCTTGTCTTCTAAAATTGCAAGAGACTTTGGCAAATTTAATAGCTCTTTGCATGCTATTACAATCAGTGTATAGAGAATTTGAGGGAGGGGAGGGGGAATACAGCTAGAGGTGTCACTGTGCATGCATGGTCAGTGCCTTGCATACAAAACCAAATGCATGACTTTGGCAAATCCTGTAAGGTTGGATGGCTGCTCCTTTCATCCTATTTCGCTCTCCATGGGTCAGTGTGCCCTGTTCCAGGCAGTAAACTTCTGTTTAGTTACCCACCTGTAAAATGGAAATAAGTTAGGAGGACAAATGAGAGATGCTGAGAGATGACCTAAAGGTATAAGCAAGCAAGCATCCCAAGTGAGAGAACGTTATCATAACAATCCCTTAGAAGCTTACCTATGTGCATGTGACACGCCTGGCTATTCTTAGAGAGCTTCTTTTTAAGTGTGTTCTTCTAGCCATGCCTAAAACCCTGTTCATGACTCAGAACTCCGATGATAAGGCAGGATTCCAGATCTTTCAGATCTTTGTGTGCAAATTTCTAAGAACAGATGGCTCTGTGGAGATACTGGGGTGGATTTGGAAAACTGCATCCCCCCCCCCCCCGTTGCAGGTGAACACATGCTTGCATGTGCTTGCAGGTGAACACCTGCTCAGGGGTCCAGTAATTCTTAGGTTCTTCACTTTTGTTTCAGACGTATTCAATTTTAAATATGATGAAGGCAAGCAAGAGGAACTTATCCTTGTTCCATCTCATTTAACTCTGGCCCCATATTGCTATTCCTACAGCACCAGCTTATCAACACAGTGCAGCACCTGCCCCATCCTAGCATGTTCACATGTGCAGGTGGGATGACACCTGGTTTCAGTGAGATAGCTAATGCAGAGCATGTTTATGGGATAATGTTTCAAATGTGTCAGGGAATGTTAATGGTATCAAATTCCAATTATATCTCAGAGTAAGAATGTGAAGAACATTCCTTGACATATCTTCTGATGATTTGGCAGCTTGTAATTTGCACAGAAGAAACATGTTTGCACTTGGTATGGCTCAGAAAAAGGAAATAGGAGATTGAATTTCAGACAGTCATTTCCCATTTGTGGGAAAGCTTAGAATACTTAACTGTATGCCAGGTCTCTGGCCAAGACTGATAAAACAAAAGATGCATGTGAAATTCCATAATAGCTGTATTAATTTGGTTGCATGGCAGAAAAAAACTATGAAAAGTTCCTAACCTTTTGTTTATTAATTCTAGAACAGCTTGTTTGCACTACACTAACAATGATACCAAGGTTAAATGTAGCAAAAGCATCATCATCACCCTTATAATCTATAATAATATGTGTAGACACATTTTTCATTTTGTGATTACTTTCTGGTCTGCTTAGCTATGAAACTGAACTTTCAACTAAGAATTCTGTTTTAAGAATGAAATTAAGAAATGGTAAGACTTAATAATATATATATGTATGATTTCTTTCCTGGCATGCACCTCAGAAGCAAGATATACTGAATCAAGTAAGTATTTTCATGGTTGTTTTGGCTGCTATATGGTATCTTAAGGTTGGCATTTATTTGTGAGATCTATTGACAAACTCTAATTTTGATGGCAAATATCCTTTTTTCTAGAAAAGGTTTTAATTGTGCAATGACCCTCAAACATGTAATTTATTGGGGATCTGGGCTTCCATCTCGAGTTTGTAACCTTCCAATGTTTTCCCACTGTCATTTCTGTACTTCCGTAAAGGATAAAACAGCTCATGGATTCTATGGTGCTTGTTTAATCCTTACACAGTACAGTCTTACTGGGTTTAGTTGCCACAGCAATCTGCATTTGTTGTTTGAATATTTAAACCAGCTGAAGGTAGGCACCATGTCTTAAATAAGCTATAAGGAGCAATTTGATCATGCAAATTGATCCATTGCCTGTTGACCCTAGTGCTAGGCTATCCCATTTGGAAGCATGAACATCTTAGGAATGATATAGTTAAAGAAAATATAAAACATTTTCTTGATTGTTACCCTGGTAAAGTTGTACAAAATAACCAGTTTGTAGGGAAGCTCACAGGTAAGCTATATGGCATGGATGGCTGAATGATGCCTTGGGACAATCAAATAATGGCTATTCAGCCAGTGATGGTGTCCTGTCTTTTGTAGCTTTCAGTATCCTTCTGGAGATGCTAAAGCCTAGGCGATTCTCTCTTCCTGCAATCTCTTGAGCTGCAAGTGGGGATGTATGAAAACTGTTTCAGGGTGGAATCTTGACAGAGTTTTCTGATTTGGCACTGCAGATTTCATTCCCCTTCCCCCTGTTGTCATGGTCTTAATCATGGCCAGTAAACAGATTCTGGTTTAGGTTGGTGGTTTTCTTTTAATGACTACCATTTTGGAAAATGGTGTTATGAGTTTCTTACTTTTTAAAAGTCTGTCTTTTGGAATTATTTATGCACAATTATGAATGAGAACTGCTTCCATCAGCAGAATGAGGAGATGTGCTGTTCTTTGTTAGCCTCTTGTCATCAAGACCTGTCCCGGAGATTGAGAAAGTCCTTCAGAGCAGGTGTTCAGATGATGTGGTGGAATGAAGCAGGGAGGTAGGGAAGAAGGCCTGTAAGCTAGCAGGCATCTGCTATTATAGTATGGAACTGGCCTATACTTCACCCTGGAAAACCTAGTCATAGCCAATTCTCTGCCCTCCTTTACAGACAATTGACTTGGAAGGTTTCAAATTATTTATGAAGACTTTCTTGGAGGCTGACCTACCAGAAGAGTTTTGTGAACATCTCTTTACATCCTTTGGCAACAAAGTTCCTCATAGCAGTCCATTGGTAAAGAATAAGCCCCCACTTCTTCCAGGAGGTAAGTAAGCCATTAGTCTTATGAGTTAAACTCAGTCGAGACTTTTTTTTTTTGCCTTATTTACTGCCTAAAAGTTAAAAGACTTTAATGCTCCTCACAGGCTCTCCCTTCTTTTGAAACAACACAACCTTCAACTAGCAGTAGAGAGACAAGCAACAGTAAACATTTTAATTTGGGCACAGAGAGAGGTTCAGATCAAGGGGTGGAAGTATAGCTGGAGAGACAGAATGGTGGACCTTCTATTCAGGCTGCTATGGTACTAAGCAGGGACTGACATCTATTAAACGCAGTAGAACTTGAAACTTTGCGAACAGGCATAGGATCATATTGATAATTAGACTGTCCTTGGTGCAAGAAGATACTGGGTTTCACCAATACAGGGGCATCGGGGCTTTTTTGAGTAGGAAGTCACATATACTTATGGCCATGTTTTCCAAGTGTTCCAACATTTTGCTTAGCAAATGAAAATAACCTCATAACATTAGAGCCAATGTGGCATAGTGGTTAGAGTGTTGGACAGGGATTTGGGAGATCTGGGTTGAACTAGCTGGGTGACTTTGATTACTGACTCTCAGCCTAAGCTACCTCACAGGGTTGATGTTGTGAGGATAAAATGCAAAGGAGCAGTACTTTGTGAGGAATCTTGGGTTCCTTCCAAGAGAAAGAAAGGCAGCATATAAATGTGGAATAATAATAGCAATAACCATAATACTGTGAATATTATTTCAGGTTTGCGAATTACTAAAAGCATGACCACATCTAGACCTCCGGCTCTTTCCACTTTGAACATACCGGATATAATCCAGTTGAAAGATATTGTCTGTTATCTTTCCCTTCTTGAAAGAGGAAGACCAGAAGACAAACTTGAATGTATGTAGTTTATATGAAGCAAATCAGTACTCTCAGTTAATTGATTTATATTATCTATTAACAGCAAAATATGTTTGCATTTTATCATCACAAATCAGTGGTGTACAGGATGCTTCAGATGTATCTTAATTACTCTGTCTTTCTTCAAGTCTTAATGATTCATAGATGAACCTGTGCATAATCATTTTTAAAATGCACCTTAATGTAGAGAATAGGTACAGAGAATAGTCTGAAATGCCCAAACTTCTAGGGCACAATCCTATGCTTTTGATGCATGTGAGCCACCCTATGGCTAGAATGAAGCATGGCAGTGCAATCTGTGATGCTGCCATTCCTTGCAGTGGGTATTGTCTAGAAGGCCTTTTCAAGCTGTCTAGATAAAGCACTGGGAGGAGGAGGGAAGCAGCCTGGGATGCCCATCCCAAGTAGTCTAAGTTTGCTGCCCCAGCCTCCTTCCCTTCCCACCCCTAGCAAGTTCCTTTCCTCCCTCCAAGGGCCAGTTGAGACCTCCAGGTGAGCAGCTAGTGGTGCGGGGGACGGGCTTTGTCTTCACGATCCCATCTCTGAAATAATAGGCTCTTGGAGCTGGGAGAATCTTATATCCTCCTATATGTCATGAGTCCATAGGATTGCATGTAACAGATTTTTAACAGTTAAAAGTTGAATTTGTGTCTAAAATAGATGGAAGATTATCATGGCATCAAAAATAGGAAAGTACCCTTATAATTAATCATTGCTGCTATAAAATTGTGAAGCATTTCCAAATAGGTATCATTCACTGTGAAAATTCCTATTTCAGAATAGCATAGATGTCTCCAGTTTTTTAAAAAAAATGTAACTTCACTGTTTGATGCTGGCAAGCCTATACTTCATAATTGATGTAATTTTTTATATTTTCATGACATGCCAAATTTTTGAGTGGCATCAATCAATCGATGATGGTAGTTCTGGGCTTTTCCAATAATTGGCAGTTAACTTACCAAGCTCTCATAGCAACAGGTGCAGAATTAATGAAACAGATTATTTCTTGGCTGATTTGTTATGAGGCACAAGGCCAGTCACTGCACCTGTACTGCTTATTATCTAATGCTGATACAGTTTGACTTCCAGATCTTGTTTTACAAATGGTAGTCTGTAAAATGGAAATAATCCAGATTCAATCAGAGCCCCAGGAAAGTTCATAGTACTTTTAAGCAGCAAACTGCTGAGCACAAGATGTCATTTAAACACATCCAGAAAGTAATTAAGGTAGAAAGCTTACTATTCCCAGGAAACAAACTGTTACACAAAGCCATGTAATATATGGAGCATTTTGAGTGCAATCCAAAGAAAATTAAGCACTTTGGACTCCCATTCATTTTTGTGTAAGTACAAGCATGTTCATCAATCTCTTCCATTAAAATTAATGTTAAAATGCCATTTGTTGGATTATGCCATTGATTTTCAATATCTAGAAACTTTTCAAGTCCTTGATTTGCATGTTGGTAGTAGCAGCACTGATTATTGCCTTATGTTCTGGAAATATGAGTAGTCGGCTCTACCTGCTGGAGGTTTAGATGCATTGCAAGTTGAGAGATCAGATTTTTTAAATGATTTCTTCCCATGTTTGTGTTTCTTGACAAACTGTGTTTATAAAACAATTTATTTTATAATATAACTCCCAATATTCCCTAGAATGGAAGTTTTCTGGCCAACTGATTTTCTTACCTACTATTAATTATAAGATGTACATTTAAACTATGGCTCTGTCTTTTTCTCAGATCATGTTTTTTTTTCCTCAGTTATGTTTCGCTTATATGATACAGATGGAAATGGTTTCCTGGACAGTTCGGTAATTTTATTTATTAATAACAACATTTGTTAATACATGTGTGACTGAAACTGTGACTGAAGCAGTACATTTGTTATTAGGTGCAAGTGTTCTTGTCAAATATATGGTAGACAATTTAGGTGAGATCCAGTCTAAGTCAATTATGTTCACTAGTTATCAGTGCAACTTTAGTCATGGTCCTGCTAATAATTTCTTCCCTAATCTATTTTAGTTTTTCAGGGTGGGGATGCAGGCAGGTTGTACTGATATTTATAATGCCTGTATCTATTTATACAGCTCTTCCAGCCTTGAATCCTGGCTTTTGTTCTGTTCCTAGAACAAGGCATTTCCCCTCTCCTTTCCTTTGCAACGTCCTGTATCTTCCAAATATTTGCTCCTGAAATTATGGTACCCTCTGAAACAGAAAGATATGCTATCAGGGAACTGAAAAAGGAAGGGTGAATCCCAATCTCCTTGCATATATTCAAGTGTCTCCCATTTGCATAGCATTTGGATTCAAGCAAATGGAAGAAATCTATGTGAATGGGAAAGTGATTTGTTAATTAGGAATAAGGCAAGGAAGCAAACAATCTATTTTAAGTGGAGGGATGGAACCAGCAACTAAGGGGCAGCCTGATATAAAGTGGTTAAGCCAATGGTATGAGCATCATATGCAGTTTGGTAACACATGTAAAAAGTAGTTCCCATTATACATGTTTGGGCTAAAGGAGGGTCTCAAGTCCCAAAAGGGTTAACACTTCTGATCTGCTTATAGCCTACCTATCACAAAGGCAGGACTGGAAATGGAGGTGGAAGAGATGCTACATTTAAATTCAAAATTCAAATTTAACTAGATCATATTTAAGGGCAAGTGCTGGAACATGGCTGTTACTACATCAGGACTCCTTTAGTTTTCACAGCTACGTAATCTTGCTTGATTCTTTAGTCCCCTTTCATAGTCACAGTTATACTTATTAGCATATTTTAATGTTTTTTCTACAAAATAAAATTGATTTTACAGATGTTTAGTTTGCATTAGCATAGTTCATTTGAGTTTCAGGATTGTAAGGTGAGACATACATAATATTTATTTAAAAGGGCATTTTGTATCTTGCTTACATGCCTAGGAGCTGGAAAATATCATCACTCAAATGATGCACGTTGCAGAATATCTTGAATGGGATGTCACTGAACTCAGTCCAGTAAGCATTTCCTCAGGTCAATGATTTAATTAATAATAGAAGGATCTCACAGTTGTTTTGAATGATTTGATTAAAGTTAATACTTTGTTATAACAGTGTGGCTTAATTTTTTTCTTTAAGTTTCATGTTGCAAAGGGTGGAGAAATTATGGAAAGAGAACACAGTAGTATTTATGACTGAATGTTTGGGTGGATTGGATCTCAACTAAGGTCATATTTATTTTTTAGTATTTCTATACTGTTAGAATTAGTATGGTGCTCTCACAATGGTTTACAGAAAGCAGTTAAATACATCATAATAACAATTTAAAATAGAATTAAAACATATGGAAATAAAATCTGAAAACATGATCATGATAGAAACTTCTTTTATGGACAAATGCTTTCTCATCTGAGAATCTTAAATAAAATATAAGTTATCTGTGATGGGTCACTTGCTGTGTGAAACACTGAAGATTATTGATGTTTGCCTGTCAATTTATTTACTAAAATAAATGCTAGAACAAATATCAGCTTCCTGTAAAGCACTTCACTGAACTGTAAATATGTATTTTTAAAGATACAAGAGGGAAGAGGGCAAAACTATATTTAGATTACAGTTTTTTTATGTCATTATATAATGATTAAGTGAACTTATCACAGCAGGAGGGACAGGCAGGAATCCAGCTGAGTGGTGGCAGGGCCTTGATATCTCATTTTCACCGCCCCCTCAGGTGCAGCCAGATGGGAATGCAACATGTGCTTTTATTCAGCAAGACTGAGTTGATTTTAGATGATCATAGAAGCACAACTTAAATTATATTAAAGTAAAGAGCTTTAAAATTTTAAATGATCTTTTGTTACTTGATGAAATTTCACTGACCAGTACGTTCACTTGATCCAGTTTCAGGGATCAAATTAAAGCAATTACTTCTTAGTGGCCTCAGTGGTATGGAATCCCATTGAACTTGGTGGGAATAAATCTCTGGGAGTAAATCCCATTGAGCTCAGTGGGGTGAATACATTTTAAACGTTTTATAAATTAAACTCAGTGGGATTTATACATTTTAAATGAGAGCACATTTACACAGTGGGAATACACACGTACAAGACCTCACTATACTGTAGACTTTTAAAAGTAGAAAATAAACAGTGACACAATGCGTGACACACACACACTTATGTGTATGTTGAAAAATATTTCAGTGTCATCTTCAAGAAGCTATATGAGACATTACAGCCCTTTCTGTTTCAATGTGTCATGTCATTTATTCACAAGCTAAAGGCTATTAATAATATAAAGTTACTGAATGTATGACAGGAACTAAATGCTTGAGTAATGAGGCAAACAAAAATTAATATGTAATAAGTGGCTCTTATTCTTTCCTTCTTGGAGTCATTTAATTTATGGTCTACTTTTTCATTTTATTCCGCAGATTCTTCATGAAATGATGGAAGAAATTGACTATGACCATGATGGCACTGTTTCCTTGGAAGAATGGATCCAGGGTGGAATGACTACAATCCCACTTTTAGTTTTGCTTGGACTGGAAAATGTAAGAACCGCTGTTGTGATAACCAAAGGATAACACTTAACAGCAGTGAGGAACCTGCATTTTGCTTGAGTCAGTTGGTGGGAATCCAGCATATACTTGTGTGTCTTTGTTTTAGGATTTCTTTTTTGAAAGACTCACACTTCTTACCGGGCATGATCAAGCAGTTTTGAGTCTGACAGTTACCCTTCTAGGACCAAGGGACAACTATTTGTATGGCCTAACAATTTGAAAATCTGGGAAGACAGAAAGCCTCTTCAGAGCAGCCATAGAAACGATATGCCTGTGTCTTTTTCTAACAGAGGGCTAGAACTAGGGATGTTTCTATTTTCAAGGTTGTTCAGTCCCATTTTTGTATTGGATTGCAAGTTTTTGTTTGTACATGTTTCAAAGCTTACTATTTTGCCTACATATTTTTCAAACATACACATTGTTGCAATCAAGGTTTCCATTAACTAAACTGCAGTTTTTGCATTTTTCAGAATAGACGGCATTTTTGTATGCATTTTTTCTAAATGCATTTTCACTTTGCAAACTATTTTGGAAACTTCTAAGTACAGCTTTTGACGTCGAAATGCGATCTGGTTTGTAGAAGTCAATTCGATCAGTTCACATTTCAATGTGAACTTAAGAATTTTCTCACCCATTCCTAGTTTACCCATTCTACAGCATGCTTACAGGATGCTGTGTTTGGCTGTCCTCTACACGCAACTGGAAAGCATGGTTCTTTTTTCAGCTGCTTCATAGGCTGAAAACCAGCTTGTACATATTTCTATAAATATGTAATTTTGGTTTTGTAGTGCATGCTTCCAAGGAAGTAATATTCATTATTTACCAGCAAAGGAACAGTTTCTAAGAAGGTTGGGACCTATGTTGCATTAATATTATGACTAAAAGTCTGCAGCCTTTAGTTCATGAATTCTAATACACAAGCCCTTATTTCTTTTAGCGAGCCAATATAGGTGCTGGAATAAAACTGTCCTCTGTCTATTACACAGTGTGTTTGATTCATGATGGCTTTCCTACTCCTTGTTTCTCCTCACCAACAGTCTTTCATATAACTCTTGCCTTTCTCTTGCTTAAGCCTCAGTAGAAGCTTTTTTGAAACATTTGCTTCTGAAATGAAAAACTGAGAGAAACTTCGCCCTGCTTTTTCAGGCATTGCAACCTTCTTTGCAAAGAAGCAGTGTGCTTGCCCCAACAAAAAGGCTTATTTAGGAGTAAACTACTTTAGAATGGATGAATTCATGGATTGGTATGGTTGTGATAATGGCATAATATAGCAGTATAGCAGTAATTTCTCTTTCTTCTCCCTGGAGAGAGTGTGATGCAGAAGAAGGTTCTGTACTGGGCACCATGCCACCCTGACATGATTTGTTGGGTCATCAGACTTGGACAGCAGGGCTTGTTTGAGGGAGAAACAACCTCAGATGATCCAACAATAGGCCATGGGTTGTATGAAGGCTGTTCCATGCTGTACCACCACAAACAGGCATGCCACCACCCCTCAATATGGACAGCATTAAAAGCCATTTGCAGGCAGATAATTAGGTTAATTGTGCCTGCTATATACTGAATATTTAAACAAACTTGTGGCTTGCTTTGATAATTCAAACTGGATCAATGCCAGATGAATGGAATGTCACATATTAAATTATGGCCTCTAGACAAAGCTCTGACCTCAGAATTGGGAATCTACCTTCCAATCCCTTCCCCTTTTGTTGCAGCTGGCATGGTATGGAAAGGACCACACTGACTGCCTCTTGAAAGGCAGGAATCCAAGCTCAGAGAAGGGGTAAAGTGGGTGTCCCTGGGGGTGATGGAGTAAGCTCGGCTCCCAGGATATGAGGCCTGCAAATGACATCTCATTCTCCTTCCCTCTCTCTTTGAAGCAGCTCAGCTAGATAGCTAAGAATGCTGTCTAGCCAAAAGGCAGAGCGGGAGGTGTGGGGAGCTGGAGACTGCCTCTACACTCTTGCTCTTCATTGGATGCCCCATGCTTCGAGGGCACAATCAGTAGAATGACTCATAACTGAAATATGGTTTTAATCACATGATTGTGCTTAGCATGCTTTGTTCTTTCTATGTGAAAAAGTAACTGTGGGACACCATTCAGAATTGAGATCTCCATGTTAAATAGGGGACCTTAATCAGTTGTCTTTGCAGTGGTTCCCATCCTGGGAGGAGGGCTGCTTTTGGCACCTTTTTGGAGGTTTCATTCTGTTTAAATAGGAAGGACCAAGGTGAGCAAAGTGGTATCATGTGTCCCCTTCACCATGATCCCACCTGAGTAAGTCCTCACATGGCTGCAACTGAGTTAAGGAAAAAGAAGCATGCAAGGGCCAATTGTGTGATTATGGGCACATCTAGTTTGGCTTAGAATTTAGACTGTCCCCAGTAAGTTTCACCTGGGCCTATTCACGACAATCCCTATAATTATTATTTTAATTAAACATTTTAAAGGGATGGCAATCTTTAGCTGCCAGTAGGTCTAAAAACATCTCTCTCACTTCCTTTTCTTAAAAAATCCAAAGTTAGCACTATTCTCTATATAAACCTTTAAAATGCAGTTCTCTTATTAATTCAGCAGTGTTTTCAGAAGATAAACCATATGAATAAATGGAAGCACATATATTAAAGTGGCAGACATAAAAACTATCTATCTGCTGTGAAATAATTCTCTTTAGCTTATTTTCATCAGCTCTTTATCATTTCTCTGTTTTCATGCTTTTTCAACTTCTCTACAGGCGAGGCTTTTATTGGAATAAATGGCCTGAAGAACAGCTGCAAAACTGACTAATAATAGTAATAATTGCATTTATATGCCACCCTTACCACTGTAATTAGAATGTTGAACAAAACAATTAAAATACAATACAATTACATTTTAATTGATTAATTAACTAGATCATATTTACATATTCCATGTACTATCATAAGTTATCTTTTTCCTGTGCCATTTGTAGAGTCATTAGAAAACATTCACAAACTTAATTATATTCATTATTTTCCCTTATATTCACCAAACAAATCTTTGCTACCTTTTTGCATCCCATTATCCATGAATAAAGTCTTCAATGTCCTTTAGATATTTTGAGCACAGACAATTATAGTTTGGGAGTAATCCCCTGGCCGATAGCTAGTATCTGAGAGTTTATAGGATTTTTCAGATTCTCAGAACCAAGAATGGAGACAGCACTCTGACCTCGGAGCTCAGGACTGCATGCCCAACACCCTAGCAGCCGGTGTGGAGAAAAATGTACTGGCTATTTTATGAGGTTGGCAAAGCAGCCTTGGAGAAGGGTGAAACAGGATCTTTTGGGTAGCGAGGAAGGAAGGAAGGAAATAGGGAACTGGGAATCCCCTTGCTAGTCTGTAGATGTCCCAAAGTTTCCCAGTTCTTAATCTGCTTAATTAGATAGTCTTGTAGGACTGCAGGTCAGTGGTAGGGCAGAATATTTCCAGAGTTAATCCCTGGAATCTCCAGCAGAGCTGAGTGTGACTCGGGTCTAAAATCCGAGAAAGGCACAATTCAAAATAAAATTAATATAACAATAAAATCTGACGAACTATCAAGCAAACACTCTACCAGTATAAACTTCACAGACCTCTAGATTATCCAAGGGCAACATAGAAGGCACAATAGCGGAGAATAACCAGATATAAACTATTAAACCATGAAAATGATTCTAGCAATTAAAATATTGGGGGCCTTCAATAATGATCCAGAGAGCTAGGTAGGCACATGAGGGAAGAGGTGCTAGTTTAGATACTCTGGTCCCAAGTTGTTTAAGGGCTTTAAACACAAGTGTTAACACCTTGAATTAGGCCTGAACTTCAGTTGGTAACCAGTGAAGATGGTGGAGGACTGGTTTTATATGATCATATTTGCCAGTCCTCATCAGCAGCCTTGCTGCCCTATTCTGGACCAATTGAAGTTTCCAGACCATCTTAAAGGGAAGCCACAGACAGAGAGCATCGGATTATTCCAGATGAGAGGTTAGCAGTGTGTGAAAAACTGTTGCCTAGTTCTGCCTGTCCAGATAGGGTCATAGCTGGTAAATCAGCCTTAGAAGATGAAAGGTGCTTCTGATCTAGTCTTCCTCCTTCTCATCCACTTACTCAAAGTATGAATTAATCGTTAGGCTAAAATAGATTTTGAGGGTTTTTTAAAAAAAATATTGGTGGAAAGGTAGATTTAGCATTTCTATAATTGAAAATGGCACAAATGGAGACAAACACATTGGCACAAAATACAGTTCCGTCAAGGAGAAGACAGTTAAATGAAAGGACCTTCAAAATGCAGATGAGACAGATTTTATGGCCTATAGATGACTAGTCAAAAGTAGGCTTGAGTGAATCCGTCAGTTTTACTTTCTCTGATATCAATTTTTTTAAAGGGCATGTTCCTATCCACCGAAATACAAAGAACATTGTGAAAATTGCTACGTTCTTATGAAAATCAAGCTGAAACAAAATTCTTTCCCATCTTCACTATCACCAATGTTCGATAGAAGCAGGTATTCTCAACACAGAGAGGACCATTAAGTCACTGGCTGCCATCCAAAAGTTAAAGATGAGGAGCCTAGCAGAAAAAAAAGGAGGGGAACTATAATTACTGTCATGGTTGAATAGAGCAGTATTAGAACCCAGACTTTTAAGTGCAAAGCATTCAAAGCTCAGGGCTGGAAGGAAGAAATTGGGTTCTCCATTCATGCATTCAAAATCTCGACTTCTTTTTGTCCAGAATGGAGAGCTTCATGAATTGTTGTAAATTCTGACTTGAACTGAACTGAAATTCTTACCCATTGCTAGTCACGAATGAGATGTTAGGCTCACCAGGTTAGGTATAAGAGACTTCAGGCTGTTACACATGTGATGCAATGCTCATGAGAATGATTTGGAAGAATGTAAGCTGCACTGTACTTCTCAGGATGGACTCTGTGAAGTCTCCATTTATGTGACTAGGTACCCCCAGATGTGTAGCATCTATGCAGCTATGAGAAATGGTACAGCAGGAGGTCATAGAACTGCTACTAGCATTATGAGAAAGAGAATGAGGGCTTAGTATAAAAGCGTCATGGAAGCACTGCTTGACAGAGAGATCACCACAGTCTGAGCCTAATTCAACAGCATGCCCCTCACCAAGCCCAGTGTCCACCATTTTGCTGATGGCTGACCTTGGCATGAGTCAAAACTATCATTTTTCATAATGCTCTGGAATAGGAATTCTGGACAAATTCCTAATATTGACAAAATATTTTATAAATTTGGCTTGCAGATTTCACAGTGGATCAGCTTTTAAAAAAGCATGTAGATTCCACAACCTTGTGGACATTCTTTTTAACTGGAGGGGGTCAGATATACAGAAATACACATTTGCAATAAGGATCAACATTCTGGCATACAAATGCAGTCCCATTAGTAAGTACTTGATGGAATTAAAGATGACTGACAATTTGCAAAATCCAGATAGAATGGATTTAACAAAATCCGTACTCTGGAGGGATGCTGTGTCAAGGCCATTGTGGCCAATTGAAATGATGGTTTGGACTCATTGGGTATAGTGCTGCTGCTCGCCCACCACCATTGTCAGGTAAGCTTGCTAGGACCCACTAACATGGAAGGGGACACTTTGTCGTGATTCTCCTTAAAATGGAAGCTAGCTCTGTGCCCATGCTGCCAAGGGGCTTACATGGGGCTAGTCATTTATTTGAATTAGCACATCAGTGAATTGTGTTTTCAGGTATTTTGAATGTATAAAATACTGCTGAGAATTCAGGTGTCTTGCCATTTTGTATGCTAAAGTATTCCATGTATCTTAAAAACTGGTACATTCTTTCACTGATATGAATTTAAGCAAGTTAAAAAAAACAATTCTGTAGTCATTAAAACAACAATGGCAACAAAACGAAATCTGGCAAAAGTAGGGCATTTTTAGAGTATGTATAGTGTTTGTAATCTATATTCTTTCACTGCCACTAGATGTCAGAGTTGCTCTGCAGTTGCTATAGTCCCTAAACCGATCCAATGTTTCAAAACCCTTATAACATTGATACTCGTAACAAGCAATCCTGCGATCAACTTTTTAAAATTATCACCCTTTTAAAAAAAAACTCCTTGGCTTATGGAAATTGAAGTTCAGAGTACAGAAAATTTTTGCTGAATTGGTCCACAGGGCTAAGTGGATATTATTGTGATTATGATTGTGCACTCTCTTTGGAACACTCAGTATTGGCCTCCATTAGATAGTAAACTTGGCTAGAAAGATAGTTATTCTGACCTTGCTTTGCAGGGGATATATTTGAAATAGTACAAGTATGTCCATATTAGGCCCACATACCACCCTTGTTTGACATTGGAGAACAGTTTTAAAATTACTTATTCCAGATTTAAAATGAATTGCTGTAAGATAATAATTAGACATGGGGATAAAGATGCATTTAGACTGAATTCTAAACTGCTTTCCAATCTATTCTGTGCCAGATTCAGTGAGGTTTAATCAAGACATGCTGCTTAACAATTTTTATTTTGTGAAGGAAGATTTCCCCTGAATCTGGGAAAAACAGCTTTATTGCTATCCCTTGGATTATCCACAGGAGGGAGCAGCTTTAATTATTTTGAGAACTGTTTCAGAAACTGCTGTAGGGAGCATTGCACTCCTAAATTGGATGGAAGTTTATGCATGGCAGTGTTTCTATAAAAGCTGGAATGGTGTATTTTTTTATTATGTCTATTTCCTCCTAGTACAAGAATTTAGTAAAAGAAAGTTCTTCTCATTAGCTTTGTTTTCTTTTATCTAGCATGTGTGCTTAAAAGCAAAGTAGTAGAAGAAGGTGAAAAACATGCAAAGCAATCCTGCAGGACATAATACAACCCAGTTTTAACAATATTGCAGCAGCTGTCCTGCCTATCTATAAAATTCAAACAATTCTTAGGACCTTACCCAAGAATATATTTGTTTTCTTTCACATAAGCAATATGCACCACATGCTAATTCATTTTTATACCACAGCTTGACTCTGGGTAGGGACTGAAGTCTGGGAGAAATGAGCATCTGCTCAGGTATGCTTTGTGATTTAAATTTAAACAATAGTGTGATGCATCTAAAATCCAGATATGACACATAAAACAAACAGGGGATTATGTGTGGGAAAAGGGGAGGAGAAGATTGCCAGCTTGACAGATAAAAGGTCCAAAGTAGTAATAAATGAAACATGGTGAATATTTTCACATGGGTACCAATAAATGAAAATTGATGGCAGTTAAATTTTATTCTATCTATTTAAAAATCAATCAGGACATTATTGTTTGAGAAATTATTTTAAGTTAAAAATACATATTTTAATATGTGGCAATTAGGATGGTTGTTATTTAGCAGTAAACCAGTGCAAAACTCTAATATGCTCTTTTCTAAAAGTGCATTATATTTATATAATGAGATTCGTAGATCAGTTGCAGGCTGCAACTTCAGTATTTTAATTGGCAGAACACCCACATTCAAGACTTGTTTGTTTCTCTGATAGGGAAAATGCCAGCTAAGTCGGCCCATATGTTCTGTTCAAATGAAGGCGAAATCACATCTTGTGACCATTCTTTTGAATAAATTGCAAAATTAATCTAAAAATATATGTTCATTAGCTAAATTATATTAATTTTAATAGCATAATAATTGTTCAGAAAACCTGCTACTTTTTTTTTCTTTTTTGCTTGTTGGTGGCCAGTTCAATGGTGCTGAGTAAACCTTTGGTTTTAATTTTGGTTCAGATACATTCATCTAGTCATCTGCTTTCATTAGCTGATTGATGTGCTGGGAACATTGGAAGCCTAAACACAGGAACAAACTGTTAAATTAAAATGCCCTATTATAGCAGGGGTCATATGCATTTCTAGTCCTATCTGGATAAGGATATATACACCTATGGAAGCCATGCCTGTTGTTCCTGACCTGCTAAGGCAGCTAGAGCTATGAACATGTTGCCGGACCAGATCATAATGCATTTTACTAATTTGAAAGGATCGTGTTAACGTCTTCTTAGCTACAGGTAAAATGGCTTTGAAAATACAGTTCTGAGCATACAAAACCACTTTTGTTACCATATCAGGAGTTGTCTGTTGGAAAGAATTATGTTGTGATTTCTAGAAAATTAATAAATGAAGAAACAGATTGTCTTTTATGTTCTTGAGTCAATTTCAAATTTTATTGGCACTTACAAGTTTCACTGTTTATGCCATTAAATGAGATCCATTTCTTTTTATGCCTTCTGCAGAATGTGAAGGATGATGGGCAGCATGTATGGAGACTGAAACACTTCAATAAGCCTGCCTACTGTAATCTTTGCTTGAACATGCTAATAGGAGTAGGCAAGCAGGGCCTTTCTTGTTCATGTGAGTATATTCCTCCATTAGCTCTGCTTTATGCTCCCTGGACTTAGCCCATCAATCTTATCAGTGCCCAAGTTATCTAGTATTGCCTGCCCCCCTTTTTGCTGTTTAAGTTGCTGTTTAAGCTCTTTTGGCAGAACAGCAAGATAAAAATAAGTAACAGATAAATAAATTAATAAATGGATAAATATTTGTCCTTCTCTAAAGGCTAACATTGGTGTTTATTCATTCAGCAAACACAAATATATTACATCCTTTCTAAAAGCCCAAAACATCTCTCAGGACAATAAATGTATCAATAAGCCAAGCCAAGCAATTACATTGGCCATTTCTTGATGTCCTGTAGCTCCATGGCTTTGCAGAATGACAAGCTGCAGTGAGCCTTGAGCTTATGTGTTACCCCACTCCCCTGTGTTGGTGTGGTTTAGAGGGAGAGTTTGGAAGCCTGTCCTTGTTTTAAGTGAGCAGCATCTTGTTGTGTTGTGTGAACCTAGGTGAACTGTGGATTATTTTGTGGATTTTTTTAACAATCCACAATCCCCATTTTAAGTCACAAAAGTTATCAGAGTGGCTTGTTTCAGGTACATTTATGTAAGATTAACCATACCATGTTTAGTCAACATGCCAAACTACATTTAATCCAAAATGGAAGTGGAGGCTTTATATCTTATTCTTATGGCCAGAATGGAGAATAAAGGATGGGGGTATGTGAGCCCGAGGCTTATTGAAGTTCATTCAAGTGGATATATCCATCATCTGTGATTATTGCCAATTATTTTTAAGGGGGAAGTGGTGTTGGTAGCCTTATGGGTCACATTTAGCTGCATGCAAGCTAAATTTTGGGACTGCAGGTGGTGCACTGGTTTAAACTGCTGTGCTGCTGGGCTGGTAGATTGAAAGGTTGCCAGTTCGAATTTGCACAACGGGATGAGTTCCCGTTGCTCCATCCCAGCTCCTGCCAACCTTGCAGTTCGAAAGCATGCAAATGCAAGTAGATAAAAAGGTACCACTTTGGTGGCCAGGTAACAGCGTTCCGTGCACTTCGGTGTTTAGTCATGCTGGCCACATGACCACGGAGACTGCGGACAAACTCTGGCTCCCTCAGCTAGGAAACGGAGATGAGCACCGTCCCCTAGATCAGGCATGACTGGACTTAATGTCAAGGGGAAACCTTTACCTTTTTTACCTTTAATCTAAATTTGAACCTTTGAATATGCCATTTGAGTGTTTTATTAAATTTGTGTTGCCATGTGGACTATTGCCCATGGAGGGGGGCAGTCTGGAGAGCAAAGATGGCCACTGGAGCTCTTGAAGTTGTCTGCCCTTGTTCCAAAGTGATAAACCTATAGCTCAACTTCAGCTTATGGAACAATGTTAGTATATTTCCAGTTAGACAGACTGGAATTAGGATATCTCTTTAGAGAAGCATTTGTACAATCCATAAACCTGTTGGCTTTAATTTACCTTTCATTTATTTTAATGAAATAAATAAGTTTCATTTATTTTAATGAAACTATAAGTGTTCTTGTAGTTGTAGCCTTCCCCTGCACTTAGGTGTTTGGTAGATTGTCTTCTAATGTATTTATATATTGTTCTTGCTTGTGATATTGTTCTTCAGTTAGCCTCTGTGTAAATAAGGATTTGTTAATAAAATCACTCACATTTTTGAAACAAAATACAGGATGCCTTTTCCCTTGAGTAGTCTGTAGTGTTAGGCATCTAATGTATACAGGTACCATGTTGTCCAAATTACATTATATCATTTGTTGGGCATACTGTCTACACATTCTAGTGCAATCATAGCTGTTTAAAAACAGATTGTTCTATTAAGGGTCTATTTATGAGGCATTCCCATGCATCTACGTATCACTGGCATTGGGCAGATGGCCTTCAGATTTGTTCTTATGAAAATTGTCACTTGCATTCCTGGATATTTTTGAGCTGCTGTTGTGCCTTTTTAAAAGTGTAGCTTGGAGAAAGGGGCCTGTGGCAGCTGCAGTGAAGGCCATAAAATCCATCAACCTTGTAGTTTGTTTAATTACTAGCTGCTTCTCCTGGTCAGTGTATTTAAATAAGTGCAAGCAAGAAGTTTGGTTAGCCTTATATTCCATTACTAATGAAGCATGGTTTTTGGAAGAAAATGTTTATTTTATTTTCGATGCAGATGAGCTATTGGTTACTGGCTTTGATTTAAACAACAATAATCTAGCATTCCTTCTTCCTCATAGCAGTCAGAAAGATTTGGTATCAGTGTTCCACAAAGCCATATAAAGCATTGCAATAAAGAAATGTAGGGGAAAAACTTTAGATTTTGTAATGTAGAATGGAGACGAAGGACAGAAACCTTCTATTTCATGGCAAGTAGCAAAACATTGTGATAGTTGACAAGAACTGCTATCTAGAAACAGGATTAATCAGCCATTTAAGATTGATAAATCCATAGAGGAAATAACATAAGTCCGTTGCCTTTTGTGTTCAGGTTTGCCAGCTGCTCTCATGCCTATAGTTTGTAAAATATAGATTTCTTCCTCTTGGCAAATGACACTAAAGCATTTGGCAGTTCTTAATGTGTCTTCAATATTTTTTCCCATTTAAGAATTATTGTGAACATTTTAGTGAGGGCTGATTTAATTAAGCATTTCCTGCTCAGCCATTGAAGAGTATTCTTAGATTCTTCCCATCTACTGGTTATGTAGTATTTCCTTTAGGAGATAGCCCTTTCTGTTTCAGAGCAAATGGCCAGAGTTGAGTTTTCATAGTCCAATGACACAGATTAGCAAATGATGAATGGAAAATGGAGTTGTACTTATTTCTCTTCATTCAAACCAATTTCGTATCTAACAGTGTCAATAACCAGTTTACATCCATATAAGCCCGGCCGCCCCTTGAGATCGGTGGGAGAGGACCTTCTCCGGGAACCCTCCGTGAAAGAAATTAGGAGGGTGGGTACTCGGAGGAGGGCTTTCTCTGCGGTGGCGCCTAAGTTATGGAATGCGCTCCCCAGAGAGGTCCGCCTGGCGCCATCGTTATTTGTTTTTCGGCGCCAGGCGAAGACCTTTTTATTTAAGCAGCATTTTAATTGTTAATATTATTGGATTTTATCTGGCCAGGGCGGCTTATTTTATATTGGTATTTTTGTATTTTTAACTTAATGTTTATATTTTTTAATTTTTTAGCTTATTTTTAATTTTTTAACTTATTGTTGTAAGCCGCCCCGAGGCTTCGGCAAATGGGGCGGCATAAAATGTTTAAATTAAATAAATAAATAAATAAATAAATAACCCGGTATGCATGTTATGTTCTTTCAGTTTGTAAATACACAGTCCATGAGCGTTGTGTTGCAAGAGCACCAGCTTCTTGTATCAAAACATATGTAAAATCAAAAAAGAACACTGAGGTAAGCCATCATTTTTATCTACATTGTGTGCATGTGTGGGTGTGTGTGTGAGCATGCATGCGCGTGTAGGTTCATGATAGGGTCCATAAGTATACCTGGCAAATATAATGCTGACAGCTGCCTAAGGGAACTGCCTAATATCCCCTCTACCTGAGCTATTGGAGGGGGTGTTGGACACGTGTTGGTGATTCCCAGGCTTTTGGTTTCCATGCTCAGGCTCCCTTGTTCACGTCAGCCGATGCACTAGCTGTAGCCCTTCCTAGGCAGAGCTGGCTTGGTCATGGTTATCTGTCCTCTAGAAACATCTCGTTTTGAAAAACATAATCTGTACTCCTTGGACCTGTCTTTGAAGCCAGTTTAGAAACTTCATTGGGTTCAGAATGAACAGCCACTGCAAGACTGTTTAAAAGGAACATGCCGGTTTAGACCTGCCTGACTTTTTAAAACTAGTTTCTGAGACTGTTTTCTGTATGCCTTTCAACTTGTGCAGAAATACCAGTGGCCAGCAGCATGAAGGTATTTTTTTATCTGTGGAATTACTTCACAAACAGATTTGGAAGGTGCCTTCATTGCAGGTATTAGGTGCCAGATTAAAATCTTACTATTCATCCATTATGTTGCTGTATTTCAAGTTTTAGCAGTCATAATTGCTATTTGCTGACCTGTCTTGAAGATTTGATGATTTTTCCAGTTTAGGTGCTTACTATTGTTAGTGTGTAGTATCTTTCATGATTATTGCATTGGATACATTGGTAGAAAAGTGGCTTTAAAGTGCATAACATAAGAAGCAAATAAATAAATCTATTTGATTTTATGTTCTAGGTTATGCATCATTTCTGGGTAGAAGGGAATTGTCCAACAAAATGTGACAAGTGTCACAAAACTATAAAATGTTACCAAGGACTGACTGGGCTACATTGTGTTTGGTGTCAGATCACAGTAAGTACCTTGCAGAGATACTATTAGTGGTGTTTATGTAGGCTGAAGTATTGTAGCACTGCCTACTGCCAGAAGAGATGATCCATTCATGGTGTTGTGCTAGTGTTACTCACATCAAGCTATTGCAAGTGAAGTCAAGTGCAGCACAGGTAGTGCAGCACTTACACCATGACTGGATACTACCTTTTGTTTTAAAATACTGTTCAAATGCCATGTTTAGCAAGAGCAAGTGGTCCTAATGCTAGCAGCCTCCCAACATGTTGGACTACAGCTCCCATGATTCACAACCAGGATGACTGTCATCCAGCCAACACTTTGGAAGGGCACCATGTTGGGCAAGGCTGCCCTGAGCCAACTTGGCTACTACTTGGAATTCATGTGAGTTGTAGTCCAGCAACATCTGCAGGACCACAGGTTTCCCGCCCCCGCCCTCTGCTAGTTCACAGGAGCACTGACTGTTCTTGTCCTCTTGCTAATTAACTGCTATTAAGTGGTAGAAAAGGAGACAAACTGTTAATGCTCATGAAATACATTCTGGACAAAACAAGTGCTTATTTTTAAATAATATTGTATTTCGTGATGTATTCTGTAAAACACATAATATCAAAAACCACTGCTTTAACAACTCACTTGCTTGTCAAAGGTCATACTGTCTAATAAGAAGATTATGCTATTGATTGTATGCTACTGAGTAGCAGAACTGTTAATTATCACCAAATATGTGAGGATACTTCTGGATATGGCCTGGCCTGGTGTGCATTAATTATGATAGAAGTGGATTTACAGTGAGGCATGGAATTAGCATGACAAATATTTTAGATTACAGAGTGACCAAAATGGTCTCACAATAAAGCTTCAGCACTTGGAAGAAATAAGAATTTGCTACACTTTTATTATCTGTTGCTAGGAAACTACTAAAAAAAAGGTATTTTTGCAGTAATGATTAGTATGGACAGGGCTGCTATTAGGTGTCAATCATTTTTTAAATTCAAAAATAAAGCGGCAAATTATCCTTTGCAAGGCATCTCTCTAAAGAGCTTGTGATTGGCAAACGGTATGTATTAGATATTTTAAAAATTATGTCTCAAGTTGGATACTATTTAGACTTATATGGATAATTTATCTAAACTGAAGCATTTACTCAAACCTGAAAACAGTGAACTAGAAAAGCTGCTAGACAAGACAGTTGTTTGGAGCCACCGAATCAGAGCACCTGTTGAACAGGATATTTGTACAGTGCCTGTTAAACCATGTCATATAAATTAGAAATATCTAATATGCATGCTTAACTTAAGGTACTTTCTATTAATGCAAACAGTCACATCTGATATGTTAATTCATCGGAAGTGAATACAACAGCTAATTTATTCCCCTGATACTAGCAAATTTTCTAAGTACATTTGTTTCAGAATAAGATGCCACACTTCTGAGGGTCTTCTAGTCCATTTCTGTGTCATGTGAGCAGCTCACATGTGTGTCATAGTTAAAGGTGAAGTCCTGTGCACTTCTACTGCTGGCTGGGGAATGCTGGGAGTTTAGGACTCTTTTCTGTCTGAACATGCATGGGATTACTTTCTACGTAATTTTCAACAGACTCCTATATATGATCAATACTAGAGCTATGCCTTTCTTAAGCCAATTCAAGGACCCAAAATAGTTTGTAGACTGGGCTTATTCCCAAGGAAACAGGCATAGAATTTTGCCTCTAACACAGTTTCAGAGAGAATAAGTCCAAATGAACACAGTCCTAGTTATTTTTGAGTAAATGTGCTTAAGATTATAATGATTATCAGGGCTTTTTTTGTCATAGAACGCACCGGAACGGCATTCCGGCCCCATTTTTTCCAATGGATTTTACGAAGTGATTTTGAATCGCCGGTCTGGCAGCAGCAAACAGCATTAACATAGTGCCTGTGGGCTGCTTTTGTGTCTCTGCTGATAGTGAGTGAGTGCTTACTGCAGGCGGCAACCATTATGTTTATGTATGTGTAGAGTGACTGGCTTTATGTGTGTGTAGAGTGACTGGCTTTATTTTAGTGTAAAAGTGTGACCACAAGATGTGAGTTCCTGCACCTTTTTTTTTTTTTACAAAAAAAGCACTGATGATTATATTTGTCTTTGCCTTGCTGTCAAGCAACATTGAAATATCACCTAGTTTAGTTTTAATTGTTTTTATTGCTTTGCTGTTTCTTTTGTGAAACGCCTTAACAAATGTTAGTTTTAAACGTGAGATATAGACGAGTTGCCAAAAACCAATAGCTTGCCTAGGAAATGATAGGGAATTTGGAAGAGGTTCCTGATTATACATTATAAAAACCATACTTCTGAGAGGTGGGTATGACTGTATAGAACCAATGACTACTGCAAGGAATGCCCAAGTGGTGTGTTAACTCTCTGAACTCTTTTAGGGAAATGACAGTTCAGGATTAGACCATATTTCCTGCCAAGTATCTAGATTATTGGTTTCAATTTATTTCTATAACGCAAGAGATGAAAGTCTCTGGGCAGTGTATAACAGTTGAGAAAATGCAATAAAATATAAATATCAGTAAAAAAAACCCCACCCATTTCACTAAATATTTTAAACCAGATTTTAACAATTTGAGCCATGGGTCCTCAAACTAAGTCCTGGGGGCCAGATCTGGCCCGCCATGCCCATTTATCCAGCCTGCCATGCCCATTTATCTGACCCACCATGCCCATTTGGACCCACCGTACCCACTCCCATATGCGTGCCCGCCACCGCCCACCTCACCCCGCATGCTGTTTGCTCACTCGGAGAAAACAGTTTCCAAGTGAGCAAGCCGCTGCCTCATGTGCCTGCCTCGCAGCGTGTGCCCACCCCTGCCTCGCCTCGCCTCGCCTCACCGTGCCCGCCCGCCCTCACCTCGCCTTGCCTCATTGTGCACCTCGCCCCCACCTCAGTGCATGTGCCCTGACCCCGCGCTGGCCCATGTGCACAGCTGGCACCACCTTTCCGGCCCGTGCCCAGCACCGGCATCTTTCAACTGGTCCCCTGCTAAAAAAGCTCGAGGACCCCTGATTTAAGCAGTGGAGACAAATCCAGACTATTTGGCCTGTTAATAGCAACCTACATTCTTTCTGCTTCCCCCGCCCCCCATGTCCTACTTATAGTTGTTGAATGCCTCAGCATAGATAATGCTTTACCAGGTGGATCTTAGTGGGGAGATACTACAAAGAAGACCCTCCTGCTTGTTCCTGCCAGTAGACCTTCCATTGGAGGCGGCATTGGGAGGAAGCCTTCATATGCTGAACATAGCATCCAGCTAGATTGTGGTTGGAAGAAGCATTCCATTAAGTATTGTATTTCCAAGCCAAGTTGGGCTTTGTAGGTTAAGATTACCAAAGATAAGATTACCCTAGAATGGGGCTCAGAAACATATAGATAGCCAATATAAGTGGACTAGAAATGGTGTTACATGATCACCCTTATGGGTCCCTATTTTTAGTCTGGCTGACACATTTTCCACAAGCTGCAGCTTCTGAACAGTTCTGAAGGTCATCCTCACATAGAGTGAATTGCAATAATCTAGTTTAGAGATTACCAGAGCATAGATTTCTGATAGCAGACTATCCCAGTCCAGATAGGGCTGAAGCTGGGCCACAACTGAAGTTGGTAGAAGACACTTCATGCCACTGAGGCAACCCGAGCCTCAAGTGACAACAATGACTCAAAGAGGACCCCCAAACTATGAACATGAACAGGGCAACCCTATCCGAAATTTAAAGAACCTACTGGGTGGCACAAGGAAGACTGAATAGAGGAGTTTGTATACTTGAACGAAAGCAAATACATGTGTTTGGTGGCCAAATGAAAGATATTCAGGTGTGACCTGGCTTCAGCAACAACTGTGTAGTCAGGATGCCATTTTCATGTGGCCTCAGTTCCCAAGCTTTCTAACAGGATAGTTAGTTGAATTACATTACAGTAGAGGACACAGAAGTCAATGAGTAAAAAAAGAAAAAAATAACTGCTAGATCTTTTTCCTTGGTTTCTATGAAATGGCTCTCTGTGCAGTGTTTCCTGTAATAGGATCAAAAAATAGATGAGGTGCTAGAGTGATGACAACCAAACCTACTATGTGTGTATAAAAAGCCATCATGGCTTGATGAACAAATGTTCATGACAGTAAAAGAGGATTAGTTCTTCATTGAGAGAAAGAAGCAGTGTGTACTATGCAGTAGGAGAAAATGTAAGGCACACAGGCTTCATGTGGCCATCCGTTGTTCTCCCAACATTCTCTCCATAGCTTGAAGTTTCTGCAAGTTGCTCACCACATGGCAGCCTCCAAGGGCTCTGTGGACCAGAGAAAAGGTCCTGTACAGCAGAGTGTGGGTTTGGACCTTATGTTACCAACCCCTGGAGAAAAAATTTGTTCCTGTTTTACATTTTGTTGGCCAACGTTGTAACAGTAACTGTTAGTAATATGCGTGGTGCCTCTTTCCGTTATATACTACCTTTTCCATGAAATTAAAGCAAAGTGATTCTTGTGAATGTTAGGTTTTAATTACCTTGAAAGGTATTTCTTTGATCACTTGCTTGACATAATTGTTCTTGTTTGTTCAGCACACTCCCATCCATGGACTCCTTCACTGTTTTAACTCTTAGCAATATTTCTCTCTTTTATTATAGTTGCATAACAAATGTGCTTCGCACCTCAAACCTGAATGTGATTGTGGTGCTTTGAAGGATCATATTCTTCCACCCACATCAATCTGCCCAGTAGTATTGGTAAGTTTCTCTTGTTCATCCATTCCTAATAACCCTTTTGCATTAAAGCTCACATGGACGCTTGACATCTGGTGGTACAATTTCCTGTAGATGTGCTGACAAAATGGTATAAACAAAATGCTAGCCCACTAACAGTCACCTAATATTTTTTGGCATCTTGTATTTTGCTTCATATGGCTCAGAGTTTTGTCTAGGATGCATATTGAAACCAAAGATGATACTGGTTTTATCATTTAGTCATACTGAATTTACCAGAAATTCTACAGGCAGTATACTTGTATGTCCTAAATCTTTTATGGATCTGGCTTCCCAGAATATTGCAGCTATTCTTATGGACACACTTTGCTTGGAATGCACAACCTATATTTGCAATGCTGAGAGTTCTGATCTCAGCCGGAGGTTACCTAGAATGATAGGACTGGACATGCAGCAAGCAGTGCATTAACATTATGTGTTTTATGGTGAAAGACTGAGCAGTAAATGTCCTTGTCTACAAAACAATTACTTAATGAAAATAGCAATACAGATGCATATTCTGTGAGCAGCACTGCAAACTTCTTCTGATAGAGACTTTTAAAGCTGGTGCATGAATTGAGCTATGTGGACTGTGTACTTTACTTCCCCCTTTCTTTGATTTTGGCCAAGGTGGCAATTAATTCTGGAAAGATGCGAGTCTGCTCAGAAATGTTTTTGTAGAGTCTGGGGCCATGGAAACAGCAGCAATGGAAGAAGCAAAGGAGTTAGGTGGGACTTTGATGTTCTAAACCCTTGGTAGCTTAAATAATCTCTCCCTGCCTAGCTGTCCTTCAACTTCAGAAATTTGTCTAGGCATGATTCCTAATTTTGTAACCCATGTTTTAAACCACATACTTTATTATGTTTTAAGCAACAAGAATCCAGAAGTTTTAGGATGCTAGATTCTCCACCATCTCATTACATCTCATCTTGATATGCCCATTTAAAGTTATAATTCAATTATAATTAATAGTAATAGCAGCTTCTCCTCCAAAGCAGCTTTTGATTAAAAACAAAGAAAGGGTGTTGATGCTGAGAAGCTACTGTAAGGAGAAATATAATTTTTGTAAAATTCAAACCCAATACCAATATTTTATCTTAACAATGAATCTCTGTTGATGCTAATGGTATTTTTTAGATAGTTGCAGACTGTTTTCTATCTGTTGGTAGTCTCTTGCACAATTTTTCTGTTGGCAGAGCCTTTCCTTCCTGAATTTACATTATTAACACAATTTGAGCCACTGGCTAACAGGATTACTCATAACGCAATGATTTCTGTGAGTCTGTGATGATTTCTGCATTGTGCAAATAATTTGTTCTCCCTTTTGGACTGGTTTGGGCACAACACACACCTCAGGCTTGTGTGACTCTCCCCCTTCTCCAGATGGCTGTGAGGGAGTGTGTTAGCGGGCTGCTCTTTAACTTTAACTAACAAGACAACTTCAAACTGTTGTTTAACACAACCACCATTTAGGGTATGGATGACATGCTGAACTGAAGTTTTGCTAGTAAGGAAATGGAAATGTCCAGTCTCCTTGCCACCAAGGAAAGAGCATGTGAGGCCAAGGTGTGCCAAATAGCATACTTGTAAAGTTTGGTATTACATCCAAATGAAGCCAGAGTATCTGTAACAGCTGGAATGAAAGAGCTTGGGCAGCTGAGAAGAGAGCCGGCATTCAAAGCATAGTGTACTATTTCATAGCAGTCAATACTGGGTTAAGAGTAGGAATCATTGAGAAGGATTAAAGGTACACTGTCCTCACAAGACATGATTTTGGCATTAACTCTCAGGCCCTACCTTAAACTTATGCTCAATGTTGAATGCTTACTGTTACTCAGTTTATGGATGTCATTAGTTTATTTGCGTTCATTTCGTCCAGCAATTGGTTCCAACACTGGCCAGCCAAATTTCCCTTGGGAGATTGCAAGTAGGATGAGAGAAAAGTTTATTTGCTCCTAGCATCTGAATTAAGAATTTTTTTGTCTCAGAATGTTGACTTTTTAGGTATGGAAGTTGATAGGATGAGCTTCCATGGGTAGAATTAGATAAGCGGAAGTGTTTGGAGGCACTCGCCACTCCTGAATACATGTTAAATATGGCCTGGCCTTTGGAAAAAAAGTGTTTTTAAAGTCACCTTATATAATGATTAATAATGTTAGTAATTTTGGAAAAAGTATCTGTTCCCCAAAAGAACCCATTCACCATGCGTTTCTGAACAAATGAGCAATGTCATGTACTAAGCGCTTGCCAGAATTTAGGACAGCAAAAGAAAGAGCTTTATTGTTTTCTCCCACATACATTTCATTGAGCAAACAATGTTTTAGTTTTAAATAACTAATGAAGCTTTGGCTGTTGGGCAGGAGAGACATTAAATAAATAAATAAATAAATAAATACAGAGGTTTAGGTTTCCTTGTTCTTTGTAAGGTAAAAAATACTGCTTTTGCGTTGTTGCTGCAGAATTCTGTCTTTATCTTGAGCAATCACATTAGGATTTAGCATTCTCATGTTTGTGTATGGGGTTCTGGTGATGTAACAGTGCAGTTTCTGCCAATCTATTTACTGCTTCATCAGTTTAGCAGCACAGTCCTGCCAATTCTATCTGGAGTTGGCATACATGGGTATCATCTCATCCTAACCCCTTCTGGCCAGTGGATCTTCAAATTAGTTCTGCTCTGTTAATAATCATTTTCTGTACAGGCAAAATTTGTTTAAGGAGGTATACATCTGCTTCCAGATCTTCCTTTACACTGTGCTCTGTAAGGTACACCCCAAATTTTATAACTTAGCTACATTGTTCATGCTACATTTGCGGAAATGGTTCTATGTATTCATTATTGCATTTCCTTTTTGTTGTGCAAAATATTTGGTGTGTGGAGCAAAACTTTATGAAAAAAATGTGGTAACAAAGCCACATGTACATGTATACTAAACAGAGGGGCCGACTTGTGCAACACAAAGGCAGTTAAGTCACAATGGCTTGTTAACCACCCTGTGCATGCCAAACACACAGTTTACATAAGTGACCTCATGTCATATGCACAGAGTGAAGGTGGCTTGTTAGGTGGTTATCCATGGTCTTGGGTAGAATTGTGGGGTGATTTGTAGCCTAATTTGTAGCCTGGCAAACAAAATGGGTTCAGACAAAGGAAGAAGCCATGGCAGGGGGTTGAATTGGTGACCTAGTGCCTGTGGGGGACTGCAGTAACTGTACAAAACAGAAAAATGTATAACATTGACCTAGACTTTGCTCCAATGCAAGCATTTGGCCTGTACACATACGGGCTGAGAGGGCAGAGAGAGCAAAGATATGCATACCAGTTCTGCAGCTAACATCCCTGTCCTTTCTGTTCTTGACTTTGCTGCACTGAGCAGCAAAATCTCAAGGGGAATTCTGCTCATGTTTGCCTGAACCTGAGTAAACCTTCTTTTGCTCTTGCCATTTTTCTGCCAGCTCATGCACATTTTTCTTCCTTCCATCCAGCAGTCTAAATACTGCAACAACAGAGCTCCAAGTTGAAGGAGCCCTGGGAAATGTAATTCTCTAAAGCTCCCAAGTCTATTGATGTCTAAATCAATCCTGGCAATTGGTGCTATTTAACCAGTTACTGCCACATCCTATACTAGTGCATTGAGATGAGATGTTCTTACAAATAACCTTGTATGTTTGCTCTTGCTGCATTTAATTTTATTGGCCAAGTTCCTGTATTTATGAATAGTAATTTTTAGCATGTGTAGTCTCCAACTTGTATTATCTGTTCTTTTTAAAGCTACTTAACTTTGGAGTCAGGATGTTGTGCGGAAGAGTTGCTCCTTAGAGGTTTGATCTCAGCCTTTTCTTGAACTTTCTTTTCTTGGCCAGAATGTTGTGGTTTTTCATATAAAAGAAAGTTTAAAACAAACTCTGGTAATAGTCACAGGGAGAGTGCTCCTACTTAGCCTTGTTTATCATTGCTATCTTCACTCTAGGCATCCAGAATGGAGCAATACTTTGCAAACTTCCATAAGAACCACACAAGAAAGAAGAAAATGTTTCACCTGTAACAAATATGCTTCAAGAGGGCATTCTGTACATATGTGCAGCAATATAGTGAAGATTGTGACTGAAATGAAATGATTTCAGTTATGAACTGTGCATGCAGATCTCAAGTGATGGTCTTTTAATAGATGTCAGATTCAGTTTATTGCTATCTTCTTATTTAGGCAACATTTTAATTAATTCACACTGATCAAATAAATGTACACTGAGATTTGTTTCCTAATGAGGGTGCATTTAGAAGAAAGGTTTTGCATCCTTCTGATATCCTGTAGGTAATTATATTCTAATTATATGGTAAGGGGGAGGCTATAACTCAGTTCTGAATTGTTCATTGGATCCAATTAATTGCATGCACATAATGAAAGTTCATGATGAGGTTGACTGGCAGTGAGTTTAAGGAAACATTAAACTCAATTTAATCCTATCTCTTATATTACAATAGAATTAGATTATAACAAGGTTCAAAGCTGAGTAGTGGCAAGAGGTAGACGAATCTTCAAGAAGAAAAAGCACCCCTTCGATATTAGGGCTTATTTTGGGAATGCCATGTATGCAAAGGAGTTGCAGGCTGTATTCTTGCTCAACCTTTTTTTCCAATTTTTAATACCAATGTCCTGCTTGACAGTGTGTTCCATAAAGGGTGCTTATGCTTTGCCACACTATATTGTATACTGCAAGTTGTTAATTTTGTAAATGGTAAGGAAATAAACCTTCCTTTTCCCAGCATTCTTCCTGATAATCAGAGAATTAGCCACAGTACACCTCCAAACTCCTTTTTAATTACAAATTAATCTTTTCTATATATTTCAATCACTGTGCAAAACTGTTCCCTGTACTTAAGCACAATAGACCCCATGTTTAAAACTAATTGATTTTCACAGAGGCAAAGAAGCTGCAGTATTATACTTGCAAATATCTCCTAGGAAGTGCCGGTG